TACAAAACTCAAAGGTTTAGGGTTTGGGGTTTAGGGTTTAGGGTTTAGGGTTTGGGGTTTAGGGTTTAGGGTTTAGGGTTTAGGGTTTGGGTTTCAGGGTTTAGGGTTTAGGGTTTGGGTTTCAGGGGTGCATTCTAGGCCAATACAATGCAAGGGCAGAAAAAAATAATCCAAATCACATCTGAATACAATGGCAATAATCATGATCAGAGGAGGTCATCACAGAAGGGATACAAGGGTACCCTGGGTCTTAGTAGGAGGCTTGGGAAGTGACCTGTTGCTGGACTGGGTCCTCGATGTGACCACACAACAGTGTGGTAGTAGTATGATCCCAATATAACCTCTACAANNTCTTTTCCATTATCCCAAAATCACCCACAATGTGATGGGGCTGGAAGAAAATCTTGCACCACCCAATTGACCTTGTTGACCTTATACCCTTGGAATTGCAGTCTGTTGGAGAATACTAAGTGGTATATACTAGTTACTAGATTAACTCATCCACAGTGGGAGCATCCTGCAAATCCACCATAGGATCGGGGTCGCACTTCGCATTCTGGGCCATCATCACCAAAAACAAGCCTCTGCTCCTGAACCCTAAAGCCTCAACACTAAGCCCCAAGCCCCTTAGCTTTATACTAACTGGGGGTAGTAGGCCAGAAGAGAACCCCTACTAACAACCAATAAGTTTAGGCTTTTGCCCCAAACCGTTTATCCTCGAACTCACGGACGCTCACTTCATCCTCAGAAGACAAGAGCTGGTGGCTTCCGAAAGGTGATTGGCTTCAGGGATACCCTCTTCAATTGCCGTGTTGCAAATAAAAGGCTTCCTTATTGTAGTAACTTAACTTCACAAAAGCCCAGATCATCAAAAACATCTATCCCAATTGGCACGAGAAGACACACTGCCGTCCTGTCCTAGAGATGTCACTGCTGCTACTATTGCAGCTTGTTCCCATCAAGAATCTGTAAATACTAGGAAATGCTGAGATCCGGGCATTGGGAGGGCACCTTTGCAATAACGTCATGTCTATCAGCTACGAAACCTCCATCTGCTACAACTGTTACCACCATCACCCCCTTCGCAACCCAACAGCACTGCCAGTACTTGAGGTCTGCATGTAACAATGAAACATGCTGATGGGCAGAGCCAACGCATCACACGGATTCCGTGTGAGGATAAGAACTGTGCGGGAATGCCTCGAAGAAGAGGCCTGCAAAAATGAAGCCGTCTGAAGCAAACCAGTGATCTTGAAAGATGGGTCATGGGCCCACATCATCATCGCAGTAGATGTGGTGTCACCGCAGGCCAGTGGGGCCAACACTGGCTGCCCACATGCCACTCTACACCAAGATTACACCAAGGAATCATCAGCCGCGGCACGTGTACATTGAGAGGCCCAAGTCATCCGTTGCATACGGGTTCTTCTGAATAAGGTTCGCCCGTGTCGCCAGGGCCTCCAAGCAATGAAGGATCGCAAAAATGCAGGAACCTCAGCTAAGGGTCAAGCAGAAAATCCTGCTGGACTTCAATATTTACTTCAGCGTCAACAGAAAGGAAACACGGCCACAATCATCATATTGTAGTATATGACAGTATGCTATAGTAAACTAAAGTATATTATAGTATATGACAAAATACTATAGTATGTTAAAGTATATTACAGTATATTCTAGTATATTCTAGTATATTACAATACATTATAATAGATTATAGTATATTATAATCTAAAATCCTGACGATCAACTTACGGGAATCCCAAAATGCGCTTCGAGCAGATTCGCCTGGCTAACAGGGGGACCTCGCACCCGCTGCATGGCAACCTTCCCAGGCAAAACAGGGTTTAGGGTTTAGGGTTCTGGGTTTAGGGTTCAGGGTTGAGGGTTTAGGGTTCAGGGTTAGGGTTTAGGGTTTAGCTCAGGTCTCTCTTCTCGCACATCCTCAACAAAGGGTTTAGGGATTATATAGGGGTTATGAAAGGGTTATCTAAGGGTTATGTAAGGGCTATGTAAGGGTTACTCAAGGCTTATGTAAAGGTTATGTAAGGGTTATATGGGGGATACTGGAGATGAAAATTGAAACTACTACGAACAGGTCTAATCTCAAGGACCCCAACAGAAAGACCCCTGCTTGTGCAAACGACAGAAGTTCGCATACCCTAAACCCGAAACCCTAAACCTTTATCAAACCCCGCTCAGACATGGGGACAGATTCAAGGCCACTCATAAGCAAAGCCTCTAGCACATGTCGCCAAAGGCCCTACAACTACCTAGACTACCTAGACCCTCCAATGTAGACCCTCTTTGGTAGCTTTAATAAGAGTCCTCACCAAAAAAACATACCAAACCCAAAAGGGGAATACATTGGAGGGTCTAGGTGTGCAAAGCAAGCGAATACTTCAACGAGACAGCTCCAACACATTGCGCCATGCCATCCGCAAATCCGGTGCCGCGATGCACAACTGGCACACTCTCTCCCCTGTCTACCAGCAGTATATTGGGACGCAGGGGGGTTGGAGGGCTGACTTTTGGTGGGACACCCCACTCCCAGCTGGAGACTATAATATACCATAATATACCAATAATATACTATAATATACTATAATATACAACAACATACCACAATATACCAGAATATATTATAATTTACACCCCTTTCAGGGAGGGGATGGATGAAACACTTGGTAGTTTCCCAAAATA